CAGCACACAGTGCTGCAGGACTGCTTGCAGAGGCAATGGCAATGTTCGCAGCTTTCACTGAGACCCACATAAAGGATCACTTGGACAACGAAATATGGATCCCAGGTTACAACCTATACAGATGTGACAGAGTGAACAGGCAAAAGGGGGGGGGGGGGGTTGGCCTGTACATTGCAGAGTCACTTGTTTGCACAGAACTGCTAAATGCCTCAAATGATGTAGTGGAAGTTTTAGCAGTAAAGGTCGAGAACCAAAACCTAGTCATTGTGGTAGTCTACAAGCCTCCGGATGCAACATCCCAGCAATTCCAGGAACAAGCCTCCGGATGCAACATCCCAGCAATTCCAGGAACAGCTGTTAAAAATTGACCACTGTCTGGAAAATCTTCCAGCTCCTGCACCCAACATCTTGCTCCTGGGGGATTTCAACTTAAGGCACCTAAAATGGAGGAATATAGCAAATAATATTGTTGCAGTAATAACACCAGGAGGCAGCTCTGATGAAAACTCACACTCACACGAGCTTTTAAATCTCTGCACAAAATTCAATTTAAACCAGCAAATAATAGAGCCTACTAGACTGGAGAATACACTAGACCTCATCTTCACTAACAATGATGATCTGATAAGAAATGTCACCATATCAAACACAATATACTCAGATCACAACATAATTGAGGTTCAGCCATGTATGCGTGGAGCCCCAGACCGACATAATGAGACTAGTCACGAGGGAGCATTCACCAAATTCAACTTCAATAACAAAAAACATAAAGTGGGACCAAGTAAACCAAGTCCTAACCGATATAAGCTGGGAAGATATACTAAGCAACACAGACCCCAACTTATGCCTAGAACAGATTAACTTGGTGGCAATCGATGTATGCACAAGGCTTATTCCTCTAAGAAAAAGGAGGAGTAGATGTAAAATAGAAAGAGACAGGCGCTCCCTTTACAGGCGACGGAAAAGAATAACAGAGCAGCTAAAAGAGGTCAATATATCTGAAATGCATAGGGAGACACTGGTCAGAGAAATAGCAAGCATCGAACTCAAGCTAAAGGAATCTTATAGGAGTCAGGAATCGCGGGAAGAACTAAAAGCCATAAATGAAATCGAAAGAAACCCAAAGTATTTCTTCTCCTATGCCAAATCAAAGTCGAGAACAACGTCCAGTATTGGGCCCCTACTTAAACAGGATGGGTCCTACACAGATGACAGCAAGGAAATGAGTGAGCTACTCAAGTCCCAATATGACTCGGTTTTTAGCAAGCCGCTAACCTGACTGAGAGTCGAAGATCAAAATGAATTTTTTTATGAGAGAGCCACAAAATATGGTTAACACAAGCCTATCCGATGTTATCCTGATGCCAAATGACTTCGAACAGGCGATAAATGACATGCCCATGCACTCTGCCCCAGGGCCAGACTCATGGAACTCCGTGTTCATCAAGAACTGCAAGAAGCCCCTATCACGAGCCTTTTCCATCCTATGGAGAGGGAGCATGGACACGGGGGTTGTCCCACAGTTACTAAAAACAACAGACATAGCCCCACTCCACAAAGGGGGCAGTAAAGCAACAGCAAAGAACTACAGACCGATAGCACTAACATCCCATATCATAAAAATCTTTGAAAGGGTCCTAAGAAGCAAGATCACCACCCATCTAGAAACCCATCAGTTACACAACCCAGGGCAACATGGGTTTAGAACAGGTCGCTCCTGTCTGTCTCAACTATTGGATCACTACTACAAGGTCCTAAATGCACTAGAAGATAAAAAGAATGCAGATGTAATATATACAGACTTTGCAAAAGCCTTCGACAAGTGTGACCATGGTGTAATAGCGCACAAAATGCGTGCTAAAGGAATAACAGGAAAAGTCGGTCGATGGATCTATAATTTCCTCACTAACAGAACACAGAGAGTAGTCGTCAACAGAGTAAAGTCCGAGGCAGCTACGGTGAAAAGCTCTGTTCCACAAGGCACAGTACTCGCTCCCATCTTGTTCCTCATCCTCATATCCGACATAGACAAGGATGTCAGCCACATCACATTGTCTTCCTTTGCAGATGACACCCGAATCTGCATGACAGTGTCTTCCATTGCAGACACTGCAAGGCTCCTGGCGGACATCAACCAAATCTTTCAGTGGGCTGCAGAAAACAATATGAAGTTCAACGATGAGAAATTTCAATTACTCAGATATGGTAAACACGAGGAAATTAAATCTTCATCAGAGTACAAAAAAAATTCTGGCCACAAAATAGAGCGAAACACCAACGTCAAAGACCTGGGAGTGATCATGTCTGAGGATCTCACCTTCAAGGACCATAACATTGTATCAATCGCATCTGCTAGAAAAATGACAGGATGGATAATGAGAACCTTCAAAACTAGGGAGGCCAAGCCCATGATGACACTCTTCAGGTCACTTGTTCTATCTAGGCTGGAATATTGCTGCACACTAACAGCACCTTTCAAGGCAGGTGAAATTGCTGACCTAGAAAATGTACAGAGAACCTTCATGGCGCGCACAACAGAGATAAAACACCTCAATTACTGGGAGCGCTTGAGGTTCCTAAAACTGTATTCCCTGGAATGCAGGTGGGAGAGATACATGATTATATACACCTGGAAAATCCTAGAGGGACTAGTACACGAAAATCACTCACTACGAAAGCAAAAGACTTGGCAGACGATGCAACATCCCCCCATTGAAAAGCAGGGGTGTCACTAGCACGTTAAGAGACCATACAATAAGTGTCAGGGGCCCGAGACTGTTCAACTGCCTCCCAGCATACATAAGGGGGATTACCAACAGACCCCTGGCAGTCTTCAAGCTGGCACTGGACAAGCACCTAAAGTCGGTTCCTGACCAGCCGGGTTGTGGCTCATACGTTGGTTTGCGTGCAGCCAGCAGCAACAGCCTGGTTGATCAGGCTCTGATCCACCAGGAGGCCTGGTCACAGACCGGGCCACGGGGGCGTTGACCCCCGGAACTCTCTCCAGGTAAACTCCAGGTAATGAGAGAAAAAAAAACTCCAACCGTGTTTTTGGATTAAAACGCCAACTTTGAGGTGTACGTATTTTCCTTTAGTATTTATAGTTGTATTCTCGTTTTCTTGGTCTCATTTGATAGAATGGGAAACATATTACAGAAATAGAGATGATTTTGATTAGTTTCATGATGAAAACGACCTTGAAATTGAGCTCAAATTAGCAGAAATGTTTGATTTTTACCAATGTTCAAGAGTAAGCAAATCACACCACACATCCAATGCATGTCAACTGGGGAGACTAATATTCTTTCACTAGTACACTGATATTATTTATACCATTTTTACAATAATGCAGTAATCTGCATAACAGTAAATCTTCTATTTTTTGTGTGAATAAAAAATCTAAATAGAAAGCAAGAGTAATATAAGAGGGGCCTGGAGACGTGACTAATGAACAGAGGATATGTTATTTTAGTGCCAAGAATGTCTGCATTGTTTATTCTGGACTCTATTTTGAAATTGGCATCTTTTTTAATTTGTGTGAAATTGGCCAAATTGCCTGTTTCTGACATTTTTATTGGGTAGTTGACATCGGTAAGTGGGCAGTTTCTTGTACTCACTTGATAGAAAAAATGGAGTTTTAAATCAATAGCTTTGAGTTTGGTCGGCTGGAACAATGGAATTGGCCGAAAATAGGGCTCAGTCGGTAAAATCGCCAATGCGTATATATCGCTGAGATCGCTAACTTCTTGGGAGCATAATTCCGTAAGTTTTTAATCAAATTTCGTTCTTTTGGTGTTATTACCATCTGGAAAAGATTCTCTATCATTTCATTTTTTTTTTTTTTTTTTTTTTTTTTTTTTGACACCAGGAGATGCTTCAGGATTTGGGGTTGTGACAGTCAAAGGGTTAACTATCAAATGCATTTATTCCCTAGGCTTCCTCAACTTATTAATCTCACTCGAAAACTTTTTCTTATTTTCAACAAAATTTGTTGATAACATCTCACCCACTCTCTCACTTGCTCTCTTTTTACATTGCTTAACCCCTCTCTTAACCTCTCTTTTTCTCTCCATATACTCCTCCCTCCTTGCATCACTTCTACTTTGTAAAAACCTCTCATATGCTAACTTTTTCTCTCTTACTAATCTCTCTACATCATTTACATTATTTTTAATATATATTACAAACAGTTTTAGATTTTCTCAGTCTATATACAAGAGGGTCCTGCTTTACAGTGCTTCACTTTACGTCATTTCGCTAATGCACCAGTTTTCATTTATACCCATTCTTCATTTATTCAGACTTCCTACAATAAATATATTCATCGCTGGCTTTAAGTTTAAGATGAAAATATTTTAAGGTGGGTAATGTGTGTACTGTGTATGCATTTTTTAGGCATAGCTCTTATACTCGCTCAATATACAATGGTGTAAACATGTTATCAGACTTGCATGCATTTGAAAGTGAAAAAAGGCTATAATTCATCTACAGTGATTTTCACTTTACAGTGGTGGCCCAGAACCTAACTTGTTGTATAAGTGGGGCCCTCCTGTATTTAAAAATTTTCAAGTTTGCCAAATTTTTATTGGATTTTTTGCTATGCATTTATGTGGTCCTTCTGTGACAAGCTGTGATTTACAATCACCTCATGATCTCCTTTCTCAGATGGTCTTAAGATATTTTCATATGGTCTGCATTCAACCTGAAGTGTATTTCTAATTGCATGTTTCTATTACACGACAATATTAAATACCATCAAACAATATCATTTCACATGGTTTGCTTATCTAAATCTTTGTGCAAGGATTCACAATCATAATATTTGATCTTGCATAATTTTGGATTAGTGTCTGCAAACATTTTAATATTATAGGATAACCACTTGACTTGTGTAGATATAAAAAAAAAAGTGCTATATTTAGAAACATTAATTAGTATTAAGTGTTCTAATATAATTAATAATAAAAAATATTAATTGATATCTTGTCTCTTCTTAGGTGATTTCACTAAAGGTGGCTGGTCCCAATAACGAGTCAACAGAAATTGTACTGCGGACAGATGGAGGAACCAGTGATGGTGCGGGACCATCCAGTGTTGCAAGATCAGTTACAACAGCATTGGGAGGGGCTGGACTCATGCCTGGTGCTGCACAAGCTGTGGACATTGCAGCAAATCCAGCATTTCGTAGCCCAAATGTGGTGGCTCCCCCTGGGGATAGTATTCCTATGACTCCACGCCCCATGGCCCAGATAAGACCACCTTTTCCATATGCCAGTATGAACCGTGCTGCACAAACCATGCAGGGTCGGGAATTGCAGCATCAGTCATCGACTGTGGCAGGACCAATGGGCCTCACTGTGACTAGTGCTGCTCCACGCCCAGTGTATAATCCTCCTCCACCCTATCCTAGCCTTGAGCCATCCCATCTGCGTGCTCCTGGGGTTCCTGTGCAGAGACCATCTGTACCACAAATAAATGGAACTCAGTATGTGCCAGGCCAGGTTAGTGTTGGCAGCAGCATAGCACAACCGGGGACTCAAGTGATGCCTTCTGTTGTGCAAGCCAGTTCAAATCAACCAATTAGTGGGGTTTTCCCAGTGTCAGTGACTCAGACAGTGAATAATAGAGTACACACACAGGTAGTGAAAGGTAGCCAAAGGACAGGAGGGAGTGTGCTAAAGAACAGTCCTCTTTTGGTAGATTTGTTACGGCAACCTGATCACCAGCCGGGAGTTGGTGTTAGCAAGGCCAAGGTGGTTATTGGTGGATCACCACATGGCTCACCTGCTCCTACATCTCCTTCATCTCGTTCTACAACTTCAACGCCCTCATCTGACTCCTTACCCCACACGCCCCTCACCAACCTACCTCTACCTGCAGTGCCGGCACTTTCACCGCCTCCCACCAGCTCTGCAACTTACAGTGCTACTGTAACTGCTTCAAGTTTGACTGGATCAACCTTGTCTACACAGTTCAGCACAGGGTTTAGTGGAGTTCATACTCACCAGCAGGTCTATTCTGGTGGGTCAGTTATCACTAGTACTGTCTCACCTCATCCCAGACTACCTAGCAGTGTTAGTAGTGGCTTGCAGCAACATCCGCAGGCCACGGGACAACCACCACCACCAGGACCAAGAGCGCCTTACAATACAGAACAGCGTTGCATGACTATAGGGAACAGCCAAAATATTCATCCTAGGATGCCTTTACTAACCTCTGGTCACTCGAGTGTTTTGGGCGAATCGCGTGCAGTCCCTCCTTCACCGCCTCAACCTGTGCCTGGTGCCAAGGAGAGTCAGTACCTGATCAACCCTAATACTGGGCTGTTGGAACCAAGGCCAAGTGAAAGCTCAGACTCTGACTCAGAGGTTAGACCAACAGTGACTGAAGAAATTCATTCAAATTCTCTTGTATCTGATGAAGAATCTAACATAAGTGCAACTTCAAAGAAAGAAACTGATCAGTCAGATTCTGAAACTTCTAGAATGTCGGTGCTCAGTGTTGAATCGAGAAAGACCGTGATAAGTCAGGATCGATCAAAATCTCACGATAGAGATACCAGTCCAGGATCATCAAGGGAGAACAGTGTAGTTAGTTCTGCTAGTACGGGGGAATCTATCAGATTAAAACTTACAATTGGGAGAGAAGCAGTGGCACAAGCTACTTTTGTTCCAAGAGTGAAAAAAGGTGACCGTAAGGAAATTTCTAACTCAAGTTTAGGTTCACAGTCGGTAAGCGAGCCAAGAATACCAAAATTGCATATTAACTTAAAATCTAGACAAGCAGTTATTGTTAATCCTCTTGGGGATGGAGATGGTCAAAGAAGTCAAGAGAAAGATGGCTGTAAAGAGGATAAAAATAAGAGGAGGAGTTACAGAAACAAATCGCGAAGTAGTGAATCTGACAGTGACAGTGGAAAAAGAGGGTTTAAGTTCAAAAGTAGTAAAGACAGAGGAGGGGGGGTAGAGAGTAATTCTGTGCTGAAAACTGTTGATGGTAAAAAACTTAAGGTTGATGTGGAGGAGGAGGAAGCTTCTTTGAAAATGAAATTCAAGGAAGGCTTGGAGGGCAGGTTAAAAGCTCCAAGAACTTTAGAAGATGGTCGTTTGTCTGTGATGAAATCAGAAAGTTCTAAAATTTCAAAACCTGAAAAGTTGCGAGCAAGACTGAAAACTAAAACGCCCATCAGAAAAGTTGGAGACTTGAATAGTGTAGGTGAAATTGCTAGTCACAAAATTTTAGAGACATTGCCCCCTAGCATCACCAAAGTGGCAGCTTTACATACGCAGCAGCCACACATAAATCCCTCCTCATCCTCCAGCCAATCCTCGGTGATACCTTCTTGTCTTGGATCAACATTATCATCAATGCCTGGTTCTACTACTACACAAACTGCTGGAGAACTGTTTAAAGTAGAACTTGAAAAAAGAGGGAGTGAAATAATAAGAAAATCAGATTTTAAAAGTGATATTGAAAAGAAAAGTGATAGCCTAATGAGTAGATTACGTGCGAACAATCTATCAAATTTACTAAATGGAGATTTGACTCATGGAGAAAAGTTGTCATTGGGTCGTGTGCGACAAAAAACGACAGGTGTTGGTCAGCATCAGGCAGATGGACCAAGTAGTAGCAAGGTGACAATCAAGAGAAAAGGCTCAGGGGAAATGCACACTCTTGAGTCCCTTAAGAAGGATCTTCCTGAAGGTAAGGGGTCCCATTTAGTGATATTAATCTGTGTATCTAACACTTTTTCTTCAGGATTTTCTTTAAGTGGCACCTTTTTGTAGGATCTCCGATTTCAAGTACTGTATTAATTCGAGACTACCTGCAACATTTGCTGAAGAATTCTAAAGGCTGCTTTGGCTATCTCACAAGTGAAGCAGTTACCTTCTGCTTTCACTGAGGAAATGTTTTTTTTAAAGCAATTATTACCACATGCATACAATAATGAAAACAGATAAGGTAAATAAGACTGAATAAATAGTATTAGTAAAAACGTGATGAGGTAATGGAAAAGAGCTGATTAACTCTCCGCTGCAGTTCTCTCATGGGTGACTTAAGGCCAACCAACATACAACCTCATATGTTGGGATATAAGTAACATGTAATTGTTACCATAGGTTTGATTTAGTTATGCTCATCTTTATTTTTCAGCAGCTTTGGCTGTTGTGTCATGCTAACAATATTCCTTGTCCATTCACTCTTCTGGTCTGCACATAATATCATAAATATTTCAGAGACTAGGGTAACAGTAAAGACTTTTAACTTACATTCAGTACTATTTTTCAATGTTTACAAGACCTTTAACAGTATTGCAGTTTAAATTGTTTAGATTAATAGGCTTAGTACAGCATTATCTATATATTACTTTATAGAGGAATTATTTTTTTTTAACTAAATTATTATTTTGAAAGGTAGCTAATGGTAATGTGTGTGTCGGTTTATAATAAAAATGTTTCCATATTAGAGACGGTTATTTAGTAGGTAGTCAAATACTGCTAACCACAAAAGCCTTCTGAGTTTGGGACACCAGTGTCATTGACAACTTATTCAGGACCTGCCTTACTCACTGTAGCTGAAGATGAATACTTTGACATATATGATTCGTTAATGCTTCTACATGCTTAAATCTGAAAAGATGAAGTTTGCACATGAATAAAAATAAGCTGGAAGATAGGAATTCCTCTATAGTGAAGTAAGAGAGAGAAAATACAGTAGGCAGGAATAGACTTGGGCCAAGATGAGCCTACTGAGGTGGTGATATTTGAAACTGTTAACATATAACATATACAGTAACAGATACCACTGATATGCCAACTACAGTATATATTTATTATTCACTAGAATAATAAATGAAAGATATGCATTTATGTAAGTGAGATGATGGGTTGATAATAGAATGCTTGCCTTTGGAAGAGTAAGAAAATAAATGGAATGATACTGAAGAGTAGTTATCAGGGAAGATGAGGAAGCAGGAAAGGAGAACTGTAATCATTGATAAGTCAAACTGTTGTTAGTTATATAAATGATTACATTTCTACAGTAGAGAGCTTGGTTGTGAATAGCTGGTTCTTTTTCATGCTTTGAAAGCAGGCCCTTGTTTTCAAGTTTTTCCAAATATGGTAAAAGCTTAAGGGTGAATTTTTTTTTGTGAATGCTGTAATTAAAAACTTTTCTTAGTTATAATTATTAAGAGATGGTCAACTACAGTATATTTTCTTACTGTTATTAGTTCTTTGTCACTCATTTCAACCCTTTCAGTGTCCTGACCCCAAAATTAATGTTGCTCTCGGTGTCCACTTTTTTTTTTTTTTAATTTCTTCTGATATGGTAGAGAATTTTTTCTGAGGGTAATTACACCAAAAGTATGAAATTTTATGGAAGGCTTATGGAACTGTTTAGACACAAAGCATTCTGAGTGCAATTTATGCATCTGCAATTTCACCCACTTTGAGTCCTATTTTAAGCCAATTCCAGTGCTCTATTAGACTAAATTCTTAGCTATTTAACTAGATATTTCTATTGAGCACAAAAAATGCCCACTCGCCTGTTACAGCTGCCCTGTAAAGTGCACAAAAGTTGGTAATTTAACCAATTTTACACACAACACACACCACCACACACACACACACACACACCACACACACACACACACACACACACCAACACACACCACACACAACCACACACACACCACACACACACACACCACAACAAACAACCCCACACAACACCACACACACACACACAACACACACACACACACACCACACACAACACACACACACACACACACACACACCACAACCACACACACACACACCACACACACCACACACACCACACACACCCAACACCACCACACACACCACCACACACACCACACACACACCACACCACACACACACACACAACACACCACCACACACCACACACACACCACACACACACCACACACACACCACCACCACCACACACCACACACACACCACACACAACCACACACACACAAACACACACACCACACACCACCACACACACACCACACACAACACACCACACCACACACCACACACCACACCACACACACACCACACACACACACACACCCCACACACACCACCAACACACACACCCACACACACACCACACACACACCACACCACACCACACACACACCAACACACAAACACACACCACACCACACACACACACACACCACACACACACACCACACACACACACACACACACACACACACACCACAACACACACACAACACACACACACACACCACCAACACCACACACAACCACAACCACACACACACACCACACACACACACCACACACCACAACACACACACACACCACACACACACACACCACACACACACCACACACACCACCACACACACCACACACACACACACACACCACAACACACACACACCACACCACCACCAAAACACCACACCACACACACACCACACACCACCACACACCACCACACACACACACACCACACACCACACAACAACACACACACACACACACACCACACACACACACACACACACACCACACACACACACACACCACACACACACACACCACACACACAACACCACAACCACACACACCACACACCACCACACAACACACACACCCACACACACACACACCACCACCACACACACACACCACAACCACACCACACACACACCACACACCACACCACACCACACACCACCCCACACACACCCACCACACACACCACACACACACCACACACACACCACACACACACACACACACACACACCACACACACACCTAAGCAGTTTGGGCAACAGGTGTGATAAGTGCCAGTCACAGTGACGACCAGTTGGGGAAGTGTGAGCACAAGGAATGGGTTGCACTGGACTCAGCACATGCAAGCAAGATCCATACATACAGTGTGCGACACACAGAAACGCAAGTCAACATTGCTTACAAACACTCAGCAACACTTGAAGCTGTGGAGGTAGTGTGCGTGAAAGGTGTGGTGTGTGAGATGGCAGTGCTGGGTGGGTAGTGATCAATGGTGAGTGTAGAGTTGGCACTGTGCTGAGCAAATGAGCAGGTGTACATGACTAGGGTGTGGCATGAAAGCTGGGTAGGTGTGGGCTTAAAACTAGGGATGTATAGTAAGAGGTGTGGCTGTCAGTGGTCTGGGTGGGTGGTGGTGTGGATGATGGGTGACTGGGTGGGTGAGGATTCAGTTGGTGGGTGTGGCAGTTATGGGGGTGGTGGGTGACTAAATGATTAGTTGTGTAGATAGCTTTTTGGGTTAAAGATTGTGCAAGGTGTGAATGTGGGGTTATGGGGAAACTGTGTAGGGCTGGATAAAGTGTGGTCTTGAAGTAGTTGGGATATGGTGTAGGTGTAATGATGTGGCTGTGGGGGAAAAAATATATGGGTGGAGGTGGGATGGTGTGGGTCAAGCCATGGGAGTTGTGTGGGTAGAAGTTGCTGTATGTACAGCATAGAATGGGTGGAAGCAAGGAGTATGGTTGAGGCAAGTGGAGGTATAGTGTTAAGACACATTCCATTGCATAACACTTATCCATGTTGAAGTCCATCATTTATCAAATCAATCCACTTGATTAACTTACACAGGTCTTCTGAAGAAATTCACGTAAATTTTCATTTTGATTTTTAGTATGATATTGGTTTCTGGCATTATAACCATACATGTTCATATACTTCTTATACCTTCTGGTTTATCTTATATTATAAATTAGGCATATCTGTCACTGCAACAGATAAGGGTATACGGTATACCCCATATCTTTTTAACCTTTACCCCTACTTTCCTTTGACAGTAGGTCAACACCTACAAGCCCTCTAATGCTTGCTACCTTAACGGTGGGGGGGGTTTGTTTGGGGCTTTCCCAAAGATTAGGGGCTTCCGGGAGGGTGCCACCGCCCCGCAGGAACTTACCTGCCCTAAAAAACCCAGCATCCAACTGATAAATTTGGTTTGTTAAATAATGAGGGTAAGTTTAAATTTTTTTAACTTTAGCTTAAAAAAGGGGTTAATAAAAAAATTGTAGTTTTTGAAAAAAAAACCCAAAAAAACACACCCCGGGCTAAGGTGTTTTCTTAAACCATAAAGGCATAGCAACTGAAAACTTTACACACCAAAGGGGGGGAAAAATCCTGGAGGTCCAAATTTTCTGGAAACACAGGTGTAATTGAGGTTGGTAATCTATGCTTTAGCTAAAAAACCCTGAAAAAAAATCCCAAGAGTTTCCACCTATCTCTATCAATCAAAAACTTAAATTTTTGATAAATTGGTTTAACCATTATGATGGCCAAAATTGTAATTTGAAGACCCTTGAGAGCCGGAACCTGGAATTCAACCTTGCTAAAATTTTTTGTATGGGTTAAAAAATTTTTAGGAGGTATTTTTCAAGAGACCCTGAAGGGGACTCACTCTGTTAAACACTAAATTTTGAATAAATGGATTGAGGTTTGTGAAGACTTTTTTTTTTATTTTTTAGTAACTCATTGCATCTTCATTTTTTAAAAAATTTTAAATTTTTTTCCTTTTTTTTGTCTTCATTGATCAAAAGGGGATTAATTTTATTGAAACAGTATTTGAAACCAGTGTATTATATATTTCTTGCTTTTTAATTCCCAAGATTTAACTCGGGGTCAA